GACTATTTTGCACAAAAAACGTCGTTTCTTGCGTTTTTTTAAAGAGCGTGAATGGATCACAGTCGCGGTTCCCGATTGTGCGTTTAAACGCGTTTTTTGAAATTTTTGTCTGCTTGGGTAGAAGGCCTCTTTTGATGCTGATAAATTCAGAAAAAAAAGCAATGAGAAAATTGAATATGAGAGATTTTGTTTGTTCATCAAATCATATTGATTTGACATTTGATTCTCACTAGGAGTTCCAATAATTAAGTTGATTATTATTGAAGTTTTTCTCAATAAATCCTGTTTTACTCAAATGTAGCATATATTTTTATATATAAAGACACTCACGTTGTTGTCACATGGCTCATTTGATGATGATTCACCACCTTTTACATCAAGAACAATTGGTATCTAAAATAAACAGCAACACTGACATAACAAAAACATTCTTCTCAGACCATACATTTTTTTTGATTCATAGCTTTGGCTATTTTTCTCTGGTTTTTCAAAATTAATTTCAACCTATTTTCAATTCGATCTTGTACGAGTAGAATTTGTTTTTGTTGTTGTGAGAGATGCTTGCTGTTTTGGTTCATTTCTTTCATATAATTCATCATTTGTGCAAGATCAATTTGTTTTTCATCAACATTTGTGAAATCTATTAAATTATCAAAACGAATACGTTTTGCTGGCAAGCAACCAGAATTCGTCTTTTTCGATAAACTTCTTCTTTTTTTCTTTGTAGACGAAGTCGAAAGATGTGACATCAATACATCAACATTATCATTTTTGTCGTTTTCTTCCATATCTTCATTGAATTCAGAAGAGTCATCATCACTAATGTGATGAATTGAAGTAGCTAGAATCGAATGACATGAAAACATATAAAATTATGAACGCAATATAACATTCAAGCGCAGCAATTACCTGTTTTTGAAGTTGATTCTTTCCGAAAATCGTTAACATCAGAAGAGAACGAAGATTGTTGATGTTCACTTGAATCTAGAATAAAAGTATGTATCACGAAAACTAATGGAATCAAGCTATACACTTACAAAAATCAATATGTTTCATCGAAGACAACTGATTATCTAGAAGTAAACACAGATTAAGGAAGTTATTAAAACTAGTGATTTTCGTAAGATTGTGCTCATTTTTCAAATTATTACGGAAAAGTCATATCAAAATTTATATTAATGATAGTTTTAGTTGTTGGGGATATACTGACGATGGGTACATGCTTATTCATGTTTCGTGAAATTTTAAAGAATCGATATCGTGATTCAAATGTTTAATATAATACATAAGACAGAAAAGTTGTACTTGAAAATAATTTTCTTTTCACATCTCAATGAGAGTACATAGGACTTTTGGGTTATCTGAAATGTGAATAATACTCTAGGGAAAGCAGCTTATTGATTAATTATGATTGTTATACTTTTATCTGACGATAAGGAAAATTGATTGACCACTCAGCTTCATTTATGCTTCAATGACTCATACCTTCCAATACAGAAAATAAACTTTAGAACAATTTTTGAATTATTAATAAAAACGATAGGATAACAGTTACCGGCGAACTTCATTACTATTTTCTTTGATACCATTCTAGTAAGAATAAAATGAGATGCGTTTTTTTTACTGAGTAATGTTTTTTAAATGTCATTTGTCTCTATGAAATTATAAGTCCTAGACCAAGCAGACTATTTTTTGAGATCGTATTTTAGTTATATGCTTTTCATGGAAGATTGTGAATTATACTACTCTAACATAATTTAAGATATACATGTAGTAAAAAAAATCTAATAATACACTGAAGTTGAGACATTAGAGTTTATTGGGTTTCAGAAAGAGGCTTTAAAAAAGGTAGAAACCGTGATCGATATTGTATATTAGTATACGAAATTTCACCATATAATACATGATATATCGAACATGAAGGCGAGATTGATTCCTTTGCTCATGAAGTTTTCAAGAAAGACTACAGGGAATATATGATATTTATCTCCACTGATGCACTTATTCTTTTCAGTTTCGATAGAACAATTTTTGACAGTACCCTTGCTCATCAATTTTGATATCCATCGGTTCAATAATATGAGAACAAGTTCTATATGAACTAATCTTTCGAAATATTGTCAATCATTCAAGAGTCTCATTAAGTTATCTCGGTATACATATTACAAAAAAGATGTTCAGTCTAGGACATAGTGTTTTTGAAGTTAAAATATAAGTTTCACAAATGCTGTAATCAAGGTGAAATCTGAGTCTAAAAAAGTTGTAAGAGCACTAAGTGGAGGACTATTTATGATTTTATGTTGTATAGATTTACTTCTACAAGCCATAATTCATCCTACCTTGATTACGTTTTGATAAAATTTGGCTTTGATTATTCTTCAGGTTTTCCTTCTCATTGTTTCGTTTATGCCATTCATCACAATCCGATAATACACTTTCATGCATTTCATAGGGCATTTTTGGGTATTCTTCAATAAGTCCAGCTGCTTCTTCCATATCAGCTAATGTCCCTGAAAAATAATCAAAAACTATAACTGCTAATCATTCAAATAAAATCTTACCTTTTTCAACAATTTGAATACGATAAGACCCTTTTGTATCTTTACTTATTCCATTGTTGTTTTTATCGACATCCATAATTCGATTAGCTTTAACAATACTGTACATTTCTAACTCGTCGAGATACGTCATAAATGCATAATCTTCTATTGACGAATTATCTCAACGGGAGGTTTTATATAGTTTTTGATAAATATTAGACATCTAGAAGTGAAGAAAAAGTTAGTTATAGAGTATATATAAGACTTAGCGACATCTGCATAAATTTTCGTCATATGATAAATAAATAAATGCAAACAAATATCTACCTACTTACAAAATCATGTTCAAAATCTAAACGAAATTCAGAGAGACAAACGCAATCACGAAAAGACAAAGATACGCACTTGTGCTGAATCCAACCAACAGAAATAATATCGAAATAGTCAGATAAACGAAGAAGAGGAAAATTTTCATTTAGGAGACCAGCTATGGCTTCAGAACGATCAAGGAAATCAAAAAGTGTTGTATCTATCTTTTGATAAAGCTGTATCAGAGCATAAAACTGATCTTCAAATTGATAAAATAATATAATGTTGCCATAGAGAGTTTGAGCTATATCATCAGTCTTGTAAGAAACAATAAAACTTGCACATTTGAATGGCCGATCATATAACATAGAATGAAAGGTGTTAGAACTATCTTTGCAATGAAAAAATAAAATAATTTGTTTTTCATCATGGCCCATTTTAAGAAGATTCGTTAATAATATGGATTGATATTGATCAATAAGTACACTTCCAATAAGAATTTTGTTTTTACCAGTTTGTTTCTGTAGACGAAATTCTGAACAAGGTAAAATTGTGCGGAGATCACACCAGTATGCTATTTATGATGCTAAATATTGTGTTCCATGAACCATTTTTTTCAAGTGTCGAATACACGATTCAAAGCAAAAGACAGAAGAAAATACAAGACCACCATGTCGCTTCGCTTGTTCAGCTAAATGCAGATGACAATGTAATGATAAAAGTTCAATGGATTCATCAAAAACTTGTGGTGCTGCACGACAATAGTAATCGATCAGTGATTGTGCAAGATCAATTTCTTCTTCTGATTTAGGACAATGCAAAAGCTTGATACCTAAACAATAAATTGCAAAATATGATGAATTAAGTTTAGGTAAATGAGTAATAATGCAAGGCAGTCCTATGTTTAATACAAACAATCTTAAATGTTTCGCATGCCATTCGGTTACGTTGCTGATAGAATGGTTGAACGTGACATTTATATTATGAGGAAGGGAAAGAGCTTCCAATACAGTATCTATTTCAATTAAGTTATCATGTCCAAGAAGAGGTTACCACCGTTTGCTTAATCCAACCATGTGACCTTGGCAAACCAAATGCACATAGGCATAAACAATCTGATTAGGGTAAGTCAACATTTTTAGCATAGGTGAAACACCTTTTATCCCATCGACAACCATCAGTCTTTTTTCAGGTTCTTTTCCTGATGCCAAGACTTCTTGATGAACACGCAGTTGATCATTCTGGGTGGATGTGGGTGTGGGGCGTGGGTGTGGGGCGTGGGTGTACTCACTTCATTCACACACCTACACACACACCCACGCGTACACCCCACCCACACCCTTAATATTGTCTATTGACATTTTTTTTGTGTAAATCTGTATGAAAAATAAACGGTAACCGGTCATGACAGCTCGAATCCAAAAGCCATCTGATGAGTCCTTTGAGCGAGGACGAAATCCGGATAATAATAGCTCCAATCCATCCTCAAGATGGTAGAAAGGGTGATGGTGAGGAAGAGTAGGTTTATTGGTTGTTTGTTAAGTGAATGAGGAATTGAGTGAATGAATAGATGATAACTCCATCCATCCAACCACACCCATCTATCGTGACATATCCATTATGAAGATGCACATTCTTCGAGAGTAACATTGATTATGTAGAAATCATACAGAAAATGGGGCTATTTTTTTTGTTCTGAATTTGGAAAATAGTTTTCTAATATTTTAGATTTCTTGGTATATTTTGAGGATACATACGAAACTGACGCAGAAATGGTGCCCTCTATTGCTTATGTATCAAAGTATTTCAAGATAGCTGTGGATAGTGAAAAGATTCAAGGCTCTGAATAAGAAAAATTAGTTGTATTTTCTCTATAACTTTTCTTTGTCGAATCATTTTCGGGCACGAAATGAGGTCCGTGTTCTCGAAGAATGCACTATATCTGCATTTTATTTTTCTACCAGCCACTAGATGCAACGGTACTATCTACATGGAGGCTGAAGGTAAAAAGTGTCAACATACCCGATAACGAAGCTGGTGTAAAGATATTTTGACCTATATTTTACTTTTTACAATTAGTTTTGAAATCTGATCGCTTCAATATATCAAATATTCCCTAGACTGAAAGGACAGGGCCTAGAAACCATAATTCACCTGTGTCTGTCTGTCTGTCTGTAACACTGGCACAAATGATCATTTCTATGGCACAAATGACCACTTTTGTGGTACAAAGGACCATCATTGTGCAGAATTCATTTAAATATAAAAATACAAGCACATCCTTGTCTTCATTCCGTCAGTCTAGGGCCCAGTGAATCGACATTCGATGTCGATGAACGTTACTTGTTGCTTTTGTACGACAATGTTTTTCCAATTATGACTTTTTGCATATGGCTGGTCGATCAACAGTTGGTCCATAGACAATAGTGAACAATATCCAAAGTGAGGGATATGACGGTTAAGGGGTGTGGGCAGTGGTGTAGTCACGGATTTTCTAAGCGGGTACACACTAGCAGCAAAATAAATTTTTGTTTCTCGGAAAGATTTTTTACCCGGATCCCCCACCAGATGTTTCTTGACCAAGGGGATGCTCGGGCACCCTGTGCATCACCCTGGCTACACCCCTGGGTGTGGGTGTCGATCATGAAAGCGTCAACACCAACCCATACCCTTATCCAAAGCACAGACCCTAGTATGGCTAAGCCTGTGGGTGGGTGTGGGTGTGGGTGGGTGGGGGGAGGGGCGGATATCGGTATGTGGGTTGGATGTCGATCGTCTCTTGAGCCGCAATCATACCCACACCTACATCCAAAAATTTTAAGAAACTGATTACAGGTTCGGATTCCTCGATCCCAAGAGCTTTTGGTCAAACTTTATACAAAAAGGTGATTTTTGAAAAAACCTTTTCCCTGATGAAAAAATCAAACTCAAAATATCTCTCGTACATGAGACAGGCAAACCGCTCAGGCTTACCGTGAGCACTTTCGCTCACATTCATGAATGTGCCCGTGAGCTGTGCACCTCTAGATCGAGCCCGAGCCTGATCGAGTCAGAACCCAAGCCTGACCAGAGCCGACCGAGCCCGTACTGCTCGGTGTAGGCTCGGACACAGTATATGCGTAGCCAGCTGTGCGGTGATGAACTCTTTCGTTGGCTCTATCTCGGCTTTACATTGAGCTACAGCTCTGAAAATTTTTATCACGAACTTGTGGATCGATGAAGACTTATTGCTAAAGTTTTCAACTGGTTTGGTTGGGACCTGCTCAAGTTTTTGACGCCAGACTGAGGAGTAAGGTTTACTACTTGGTGAAATTTCTCAATACGGAGGTCAGATCTCCATTATTTCTCGGTAGCTTCTTGCCAGATTTTTACTGGAGAGAGCTGCACTATTGGGCTTTTGGAATGCGGCATTGTCGAAAAATAAATATCGAAAAATGACCACCATATTACCTGCACAATGTGATGATAATGTCGGACTGATAACTTCATTACATGTGAACTATATTCATGGCTGGGTGGTGCTTTCGATCAGAATTTACTGAGGCCTCTATGTATCCAATACATACTTGAAATCTGAAAGTTTCACGAGGTCCTTACAAAATTCAAGTATGAAAAGTGTGATACAGTATTCATACTATTTTCTGTAGCCGTAGTAGGAAGCTGATCTTTCAGAAGTTACAGAAGTTCAAAATTCGTAAAATTCCATCAGCGTTAGTGTATGTAAAACAAAAGTGAGTGTACAGTAAAGCACATCGAGTTCAAAATTTTCAGTTCTGGGTCTGGATCCGAAGTCTATTTAGTATACGCCTTTTAGACCTGGACCGAGGACTAAAGCTGTACCCAACCCTTGATACTTTCAATGAAGTTTTGTCAAAGACGGTTGAAAATGAGTGTTGAAGTTTTAGAGCGAGAAAGTTGAACTCCCCCACACACTATGACAGACATGTGGCAATCCTATATAATGGTTTTTCGAATCGCGGAATTTCGTTTTTTTGAACCATGTAGGTTTGGGTTTTGAGACCATCATATGATAGATTTTTGAGCCTCAGGCTGATGGAGTTTTAAGGGACTCCGTTTTTACAACTCATTTAAAATCCCAGGCCTAAAATATCGTTTTTTGCTCGTGTTGCGGTATAATAGATTCCTATGAGTTTGTTGATATAGGTGAAAACACAGCAATGAATTATGACGGTGTTTACAGAACAGAGAAGAGTTTTGTTGTTTTTTCTCTGGCTATAAATAAATGGATTCTTTTTTGTTTCTTGAGAAGGGACGACAATTAATATACTCTTCCTCTGTTCTACTTCAAGATGAGTTTCTCTTGTTACCGTTACCGTTGATTCAAAATGTCCGCGCAAAAAGGGATAACCATTTGCTAGTTACACACACTGTCGAACAGGTTTTTGTTTTATCTATACACTCACAATTTTATTCGACAAACGTCTGCAAAGAAAGAAATACTCATTTAGGACAATGAAAAAGAAATTCGCAGAAGCAGCGAAAAATGTTTCGAAATCAGCGTTTAAATATTATTGTTTGTTTCGAGCAGCCATCTTGCACAAGAATGCGCATCGTGTCGTCAACCAGAAAAAATGAAGAATCATTTCGTGGCACTTTGAAGAGGGAGAGAAAGCAAAGAAAACAATTGCTCCACACGAGAATGGCTTTTTATTGATGGATTCATTAGTGGTGGCGAAGTGTTTTCATCGCGAGTAAAATTTGATTAGTGCCCATCTCCAATGGAAAAAAACTGCATCAGTCGATCTTTTTACGGAATTCTATTCTCCAAATCATCTGAAAAGATGATCGCTTAGATGTTAAAACATAATTTTTCTTTGGTCGATGATATTATTTGAATAGACTGTTGGTATGGACTTTGTTGAGAGCTTCAACAGTCATTCCAAATACGCTGCGATCGAAGATGCTCAATCGGTTCTCTCTAATTTTCTTCAATTTAAGATATATTAAAGAGTCAATAGTTTCATGAACATAGAGGCAAGGAAATTGGAAAAATATTGAGTTTTGACTTATCGAGTTTTATAAAAAGGCACCAAATACATGGTCATCATTTGATGTGTTTTTCAAAAGCTACATCTCGAGATCACATACACATTGAGGTGAAATTTCTCCAAGTCTGTATGACAAGTTACCATAGTACCCACGAAAAAAAATTTGAAAAAGTTCGCGTTCCAACGCGTTTATTTTTATGTCCACATGTTTTCGCTAGAAGTTAAACACACTTTTTCGAACGCGTTTCCACGCGTTTTTTTAATGGAAAACACAAAAAAACAAATGGAAAACGCAATCTGCGAATGCGCATTTTTCTTGAAAGAAACGATCGTTGTTTTTCCTTGAACGCGTTTGAACATATTAGTGATTCCGGTGATGAGTAGATTCGAACATTGAACTTTTGGTTTGACTTACCTGTTGCCATTGAACTAGACGTACGCATGGTACTAATACACCGGAATACCTATATATATTGAATAGAAGGATTAATTTTGAATTTTGTTTATTTTAACTTTAAATTCACGTCAAGTTAAATTCAAAATTAAACTAAATTACAAGAAATTAGTTTTATGATAAATTAAAATTTTTTACACAAAATTTTTATTTTTTTAAATTAATCTTTTTTTTCATTAATCTTTTGAGACGTTAGAACATTTTGTGCAAACAAATTCATGGAGCCTAATATGTTCTGAATATTAATAATGATGTTTTTACTGAAAATACGAATATAAACATTCACAGACGTTTTTTGTGAAGAATCTCATGTTCTGCAAAAGAAAAATCCAGAAAAGCGTGTTCTAACCCCCTTCGTGCAAAAATTCTGGGTTTTTAAGTAACAACATGCATTGAAATATGCGTTCTAGAGCATCTGCAAGAATACGCTATTTTTCAAGAGGAAAAAACGCGTTGAGAAGCAGGGCAAATTAAGG